CTGGACAGGTCAGTGGCCCCCCGCTCCTGGGTTGCTGGGGTGCAGTGCCGGTTCCCAGCACAAACTGGAGCCTGACTCAGGGCGGTGGCGTGAGGATGACTTTAGCTGACTTGTAGCTTCCCCACTCTAGAGGCTGGTCTCTGCTGAATCATGACCCCCTCGACTGAAAGCAGCGAGAGAGCCGCTGTGGGTCGAATCCTTCCAGCCACCCAGCTGGGAGGGTGGAGGATGCAGCAAGGCTAGCTGACCTCGGGAGTCACCGTGCCCCAGGTTCCACTGGGCTCAGACAGCTCGGGCTTCCCCCACAGGCCCCACTCCTTCTGCGGGGGCGCCGGGTTCCCAAGGCCACTGTGTGGCCAGTCTCCTTGGTCCTTGGCTTTTCTTTTTTTTTTTAAATAAGTTTTTTTTTTTTTAAAGATTGATTTATTTATACAAGTACTGGGTGCAGTCAGAAGCGTGGGAGGGTGAGAGAATTCACCAGAGCCAGAGTAGGGAACAGAACAGGCAGACTGACGAAATACACTGCTGAGGGGAGCAGCGGGCGCAGCAGGAGAGGTCTGTCATGCCATGTGGGACCTTCTCTGGGGGCTGGGGATCGAACTGGTGCTGCGGAGGCTGCAAGCAGCCTCGCAGCCCAGTGCTCAAATGCTGTGCCACCAGGGGAGGCCCTGTCCTTGGCTTTTCTCAGTGGCCGTGGGGGCTGCCAGACTTGGGGCACTGAGGGGTTGAGCAGCCTAGTTCTAGCTCCTGGCCTCCTCCCTCCCCTTCCAGGAGGCAGAGTGAGGAGCCACCTGGGGCCCATGGAAAGGGGGTCTGGAGTAGGTTTTTCTGGGCTTCTGGTGCCCAGCAACAGAAGGCAGACAGCTTCTTTCTTCCTCTTTTGGGTTGAAAACTAAAAGCACACAACAGTTGTGAATGGCTAAGTCATTCACCAGACCAAACCCGATAAAAGGGTTCGCAGTGAAGACCCCTCCCAGCCTGCTCCCCAGGCCCTCTTTTGATGTCTTCCCCCGACTTTGTGCAGCGTTGAGCTGCTTGGAAAGGAAGACGTACGTCCGTGAGGCACCTTCTAATGTGTGTTGAGAGGCGGCTGTGGACAGTGCAGCCTGGGTCAGCAAGGCTGGGCTCTGTGCCCTTGGGTCCCCGCAGCGGGATCTCAGCATTACCAGGCTGGGCCTGGGGATGGGGCAGGCTGGGATGGGCGCCTGCCTCTCCTCTGGTCCTGAATGCACCCGCCCTTCTGCCATGGAGCTCCCAGGGAGGCGGTAGCCTGGACCCGCATCCCAGCTCACCCATGTGCCTGCTTCAGACCCGGGCCAGAGCCTCCCTGAAGCCTAGTTTCCGCCGGGATGGAACAGGGCTCACAACAGAGTGTGCCTTGTGGGGCCTTGGAAAGATCTGATGGACAGCACTCTCTGGGAGGCCCCTGGGCTGCAGTTCCCTTCTGCCCCCTCCGCTGTGAGGTGCCCTTCCTGGCCCCAGACCCAGCTCTGGGGGGATGTCATACCCAACCATCCATATTTCTTTTTCTTGGTGGCAGGGGGTGGTAGTTCAAATTAAATTTCAGTTTTATCCCTTGTAGTTATCGGCTCCATAAATCTTAGCGCTTGTACATGCAGAGTGACGGGGCTGTGTGAGAACGGCCTGTGTGGATGCCTGACGCTCGGCCTGGGCGCCTGTGTGTGAGCTGCTCCTCAGTTTTTGGCCATCTCTTATCTAACTATGAGTTTGGACTGGCGGGAAAAATTATAGGGTGATTTAAAGCGTAGATTTACATGGAGATTCACCAGTTAACTCGGAATCCACCCCTCCCCCCCCCAACCACACACATATACATATACACACACATGCATGCACGCACACACGCACACACACATGCATGCACACACTATTGGGTAGTGAATTCCAGACTGCCCTTTTATCCCTAATATCCAGTGTGTTTCTAAGAACAGGGCGTTCTCTTAGGTAACCACCGTGCAGCCATCAGGTTGGGGAGCTGAGCATTGCTCCAGTCGTGTTTTCTAATCCACGGACCAAACCTTCTCTCATCAGCTATCCAGTCAGGCCCCTGTAGACCGTCCTGCCCTGTGTCCAGACACCACTGCACTTAGTGGCTGTGGCTCCTTGGCCTTCCTCTGTCCAGGAACAGTTCTTTGGCTGCTCTTAACCTTGATGTTTGTGGAGTCCAGACTGGTTGTGTTGTAGAATGGCCCTCAATTTGGGGTGGGGCACGTGCTTTCTGAGAGCTCATGGCACGTGCTTTCTGACTGTCTCTGTGACCCTTCCTGCCCCAGGTGGCTGGGGGTCACATCCACGTTTTGTGGATGAGAAAATGGAGGCCTATGGACCATCAAGTGACCAGCGTGTGGTTGCTTCCCAGAAAGTGGCAGAGCTGGGGTTCAAATCCAGGAATGTCTCATCTGCCTGCCAGGCAGGGGGAATAACTAACTCATCAGTGAGGCTCTGAATTCAGCAAAGATCATCTGCTTACTCTGAGCCAGCCGTGGCCCTACGCATCCTGTGCACACTGCCATGTGTCCCCACTCCAGTCTGAGAAGGTGGCTGCCCTGCCAGCTCGTGGTCAGAGAGGTCAAGTAGACTGTGGGGGGCAGCTCTGCCTGCAGCCTGTGTTCAGAGCGTGTCCATGAGGCCTGGACATCCCGGTCTGCTGGATCTCACACGATCCTGGAACCAGACTGGAGGCTCTTGCTGCCTCTGCTGACCTTCCAGGAGAGGCACAGGAGCCTTTGCATCCCTTTCCAGGGCCGTCTCCGGGGGGACCAAGACCTCGCCAGGCGTGGTCTGCTCTGTGTCTGTGCAGGACGGTGTTGTGATAAGTTCCAGGTCAGGAGTCCCCAGCAGTCTCTCATTTCATGGCCGGCTCGCTCTCACTCACCAGAGCAGCCCGGGCCGGCCCCTGGCTGCGGGTGGCAGGTCCTGGCTGCCGTCAGCACGCCCAGTTGCTCCCATTGCCCTGGCAACATCCAGGTGGCATTCAAAGCTGGCCGCCCCGGGATGAGGTGGCCTTGCTTGCAGCCGAGTTGGCGATGAATTATTCAAAGCTGTGCGTGTGTCACACTCCGGGCACCTCATCTTCGCTGGCTATAGGAGGATAATCCGACCCCATCTTCTGTGCTGTGGCGAGCAGCAGACACCCTAAGATTGGGACGTGCTGGATTCTGCTGGCAGAGTGAAGGAGGCTGCAGAGCACAGGGGCCCAGGTGCCTGTGCCTGGCTCCCCAGCTGCCTCCTATCCTGGGGACCTGGAGCGCCCGGGCCCCTCATCCATCAGGGTGTGGTCATTGTCGTCCTGCATGGCGTCAGGGAGCGCTGCAGTGTCCTCAGCCGGCCGCAGCCCCGGCTCAGGAGGGCGTCTCCATCCATCACAGAGACCCTGATGTCCCGACTATGGGACAGTGTGTCAGGCAGCAGCCTGGAGAGCAGCAGCCACCCCACACCCCCAGCCTACTTCACATCGGGGCTGCATCTGCACCCCACTCCTGCAGGGGTGCCGGGTTCCCAAGGCAGGAAGGCTGAGCCCCCCGGCCACTGTGTGGGCCAGTCTCTGTGGTCCTTGGCTTTTCTCCATGGGCGTGGGGACTGCCAGGCTTGGGGCACTGAGGGGCTGAGCAGCCTGCCACTCTGACCACCCAGGACCCCTGAAACCCTGCCCTGCCAGCAAGCAAGCCTCCTGCGGGGCCAACTCCTGGGAGAAATTAGACATTTTAGTTCCTTCATTTCCACTGAACATTGCTCCGTGTGTGCGCTTTCAAACATTAATTAAAAACATTAATCAATCTGGCTTCCTTGGAAAGAGGCTCTTTCTCTGTAGGAGCTTATGTTCGGGGTTCTTAGCCCTCCCCAGCATCACCCCAGGAGGAGGGGCAGCGAGCCTGTAGCCTGTGCGCCGCCAGGCACTGTGGCCTGGTGTCAGCAGCCCCCCCAGCCTCTCTGACCTTTAGTTTCCACATTTATGAAATGGGGGTGATGGTTGTACCTATGACCTGACCTCCTGGGTCGTTGTAGGGGGCGCAGTGAGGCCCTGGAAGTATGTCCCTTCCAAAGTGTCACCGACGATGTTTTGAAGGATGATCACCTTTCTCGGAGACCTCCGGTTCCTGGACCCCCTCTTGTATGTGCTGTCTCCTTTCATCCGGGTGGGGTGTCTGGGGTGGGGTGCGGGCTCTAATCTAGCCCACTTCAGGTACTCTTTACTCTGTGTCTGTGTTCACTGAGCCCCAACTTCTTGATGATTTAGCTGCCAAGATGCTGGGTGTTTAGGAGGGTGGGAGGGAGGCCTGGAAGGAGAAGGATCACCCCCTGTAGATGTAATCTTGACCCTGGGTGCCACGCTGCCCCCTGAAGGAGAGGAGAAGGTCAATGCCTGAGCCCGTTGGGTTGAGCAGCCCACCCTGCTTTGGAGGGTGAGCAAGGCCCGGGCCCCTTTCCTCACACTGCCCATCCGCTTGGCCACCACCTGTAGCCACCTGGATTGCCAGATAGGGTAAGAACCTTGAGTGAGGCAATGCATGATCCCAATGATAAACCTTATATGAGGCTAATCTGAGGTGCCCTCCAGGGTGCAATTCACAGTCTGCCCTCTGCAGAGAGGATTAGGCATCCAGGGACAGGCAGTTCTCAGAGCGGGGTATTGGGTATATTCCCTTGCACCGACAGTTGCAGGAATCTGATGAGTGAAAACGCTTTAGTGGGAGGGGGCACACGCTCCATGGGGTGGGGGCTGCAGACGAACACCTGACGTCGGTTCTGAGCTGGCCGCTACGGCGCTTCTGGAACACGGAGCTGTCCAGCCGGACACGGGGGTGGGATGGCTCAGTGCGTCTGCACATCATGAGACCCAGTGCTTGGCGTGTGCTGGTTGCCCAGTGGAGTCTTCGCCTCCGACATTTCTGCTTAGCATTTATGGGCAGCGCGTGAACCATCTCATCGCCAGAGCCGTGGTGCTAATCTGTCTCCACCTTTTTATTGTTTATTTCTAGAATCCTGCGACTCCTGGGGTTTAGGTGGTTTTAATCAGAAAGAAAAAAAAAAACATCCATCTGATGCTGCAGAGGAACCTGAGAAACATCCTTCCCTGAATCAAAGCTGGGATGTCTGTAGAGAATTAAGGTAAGGGATCGTCTCCTCTTCAGCTCTGGGGGACCAGCAAGTCTTCTGGAATTGGTGACACTTGGGTTGTGGTTCTGGGCTTATCAGCCTGGTTTCCTGAGCTGCTCCTGGGGCTCGGGCGGCTTGACCTCAGGAATGTGGTGCCTCGGGGGCTCTCCCTCTGTCCTGCTCAAGGAAAGAGGCCACCATCGGCTGGGAGATAGCACTCGCCTTGCTCCTGGAAGCATGTAGGGGTGCCCAGCTGACTTGCTAAGATTTGTGGGGATGGCATGGAGCTTGGGAAGGGGCTATATGATTCAGGACTTTGGGGGGCTCCAGAATGTGATCTCGTTTGCCCTCCCCAGCCCAGACTGTGCCGCCCCTCCCCCTCTCCTTGCACGCATGGTGGCTGCCTGAGCTGTGGGATAAGAGGTTAAGGCCTAAGGCTCTTGCCAGCTTCCTGGGTTTTGCTCTGGTCTCACCTCGGGTAAGTCGCTTAGCTGCTTTGAGCCTCAGTTTCCTGCTTTGTAAAATAGGGTTGGTTGCAGCACCTGCCTCTGTCGTGGGCACTGAATGAGGTAGTGGACATGGTACTAAGCTTGCTTCCCAGCAGGAGGAGGAGGTGCATAAAGCAGAAGATGTTCTTGTCTAATTCGTTCATGCCACTGTTCCGTGTTCCTTGCATGTACCGGGCTGTCTGCAAGTCCCCCTCCTGCTTTCCCGCTGCCTTTCACCTGCGGGTGAGATCTGTGCTGGGAAGTGGCTCGTGAATCACCCGCGCCCTGAACAGAACTGGTAATGCCCTCCGGCTCCACAATTTAAGGCCTGACTCCTTTATTTTTTGTGTTTTCTTCCCCCTCCTGCCCCGCCTTGGTGCCCTTGTTTGAAGCAGAGCAGCCTCACACAGAGAGAATCAAAAGAACATTTTTAAAGACGTAGAACGAAGAGTGAGGCCAGTTGCAATTGTTTTAAACAAGATATTGACAAGAATAAATAACACAATGAAAAAACAAAACCTGTCCCCACCCCAGACTGGAAGACAGTGCAGGCATGGGGGTGGGTGAGGGCATGTGGACCGTGGGGCCCGGGGAAGCCAGGCTGGCACCAGGGCTGCTCTCCTGCGCCTGACGGTGTCCAAGGGTGTGAGTTTTGCTGGGCTCCCGTGGTTCCGGCAGTGCCGAGACCAGGAGATGGAGAGCGGAAGGTCGCGCCCTTCGGTCCAGGCTGGGGAGCCTGACACAGGGGGACCCCCACGTTCATCCACCGGGGAGGCTCCCTGGAGAACAGGTGTAGACACCTACCAGGAGCTCATCTGATGAGCAATTAGAAGCTCCTCCGGCTTGTGGGACTGCGCCCCACCCCCTCAGTGCTTCTCCTCCCCCCTGGATTTCACGGCATTATCCAGTTTCCCACTTCCCGTGTCAGGTCCCATTTGCCTGAGGACAGCTCACGGGTGTTCCTGGAAGTGGGTGCCCTTTCTGGCCCTCGAGCACCCAGCCAGTCTTGAGCTGTGTTTCGGGAGCCACATGCCTGAGCCAGGCTTCGGGGGCAGGTGTGCAGGAAGAGCCCTGCAGCCTCTTCTGTGATGCCTGCTCCTGGGGCACCTGCAGGACTGAGCCTGCTGTTCCCATGTCTGGGGAAGGGCAGATGGGACCCCAGACCCGGTAGGGAAGGGGCTGGAAGCGGGAAGAACCGTCTCTTGATGCCTTGGCTGCAAATATGGGCCACGTTGCTTGCCTTCTGTGAACGGAGGAGAGGCTGGGCAGGTCTGTCTGGGGTGAAGGGAGAGGAATTTCCCTAGAAGTCCGCCTCTGGGAGCAGGGAGAGGGAGCGTGGGTGGAGGCTGGGATTCTGAGACCCACGTCCAAGCAGGACAGGTCTGTGCTGGGGACTCAGGCCCCAGCATTTGTGCTGCTGCAAGCAGACCTCCCAGTCCTGGAGGCCTTGCTGTCCCGCTGGGAGCCTGTCTGCCTGCATCCCTGCAGCAGCCTGCTCGCCGGGGCCGCGTGCCAACAGGAGGGCAGCCCCATGACTCCCGTCCTGGAGCTGGGACCCTTGGCACCTTCCTGCCATGGCACAGGGCAGCTCTACCTCCTGCTCCCCTGGGTTCCTGGGCAAGTGCTTTACAGCTCTCCAGATTTCTTTGTCCACTGCAGAGTGGACAGGCCCCATGAGGGTGGTCACAGGAGTGTAGACCCAGGCCTGAAAAAGCGACCTACGTCAGTGTACATGAACTCGTGATTTGCTCCTCTCCCCCTCCCTGCTCTCCTGCTCTCCCGGTCATCTCAGCGTTATGTACTCTCACCCCAGGCCCTCCTTGGAAGAAGGAGGGTCACCTTCCTAACTCTGGGTCTGCTCTCCCGGCCCTGCCTCCTCCTGGGGGCATCTCTGGCCCCGATGGGCACCACCAATCTGGCGTCTCTGGCGAGAGGGCCTCGGGTGCCTCCTGCCCGCCTGTCTGTGCCCGAACTGGCCCTGGTCTGCAGCCACCAGGTGCCCACGTGAGGGTGGCTTCCCGTATTCACTGTCCCCAGCATCGGAAGAGCCCAACCCGCTCCGAAAGGTGCACTTGAAGCACGTTTGTGCCTCCAGAACACCCCGGCGCTGGCCCACTTACCGTCATCACATTGTTTCTTGTGGTTTCATATTGAGGTTTTGGCTCATTGCATCTGACCTGGAGTTTATTTTTAGTAGTGAAGACAGAGTTTAATTAATGTCAAACAGGAGGGCACACGCAGAGGAGGGACTGGTAAGCCTAAGGAAAAATGTGCCTGGCTTTGTCTTGGTGAACATGGGTCACAGCCAAAGATGCTGGGCTTCCTTGGGGTGCCCGGGGTGGGGGGCCGCTAATGCGGGTTGGGGGTGTCGGTACCGCTCCCCTCCTGAAAACGAAAGTGTCTTTGGGTCTCTTTCCATCCAATTTATCCAGCTGCAGGCCACACAGCCCCTTTCTCCAGGTCACACTGGGGATGATGATGATTCCGATTAAAATAGAGGGGAGACCAGGCCCTCACGTCCTCAGGTCTTGTCACTTGGGAGCTCGTCCTGGATGGTGGGAGGCTCAGAGCGGCCTCGGGGCTCTCTCCAGCCCTGTTTCTCACATGAGGACAGGTGCACAGGGCATGCTTGGTGAATGTTTATGTGGATGGACTGAAATGCACTTTTTCAGGACATTGAGTTTGGGTTAGCGAGTCCGTCAGAAGCCCTCTGCCTGCTTTGGGAGACACAGCAAGCACAGCTGGCTGCTTTGGGTTTTACAGCTTGTAAAGTCCTTTTTTCATGCTTTCCCCTTTCTCGTATTCCATGGCTGTTTGCTGAGAGCACTCTGCCTCTCTGCAGAGACCCTGGAAGGAAGGAGAGAGAAGCCGCTGCAGGAAATCAGAGACTGGCTTTGTGGGTCCTGTTATGCTGGGTGGGTGTTCTGCTCCCCCATCCCTCCATCCTATGTTGAAACCCACTCCCTGGTGTGGCAGGGTTAGGAGCTGGGGCCTCTGGAGGCTATAGTCTTGGGGGTGAGCCCTTCTGATGGGATTAGTGTCTGTAGAAGAATTCACACTGCAGAGGGCTTTCCGTCTCTGCTCCCCCAAATGTGAGAACCCTGACCTTGGACTTCCAGCCTCCAGAACCGTAGGCAATAGACATCCATGGCTTTGTCGCCCAGCCAGACTCTCATGTTGCAGCAGCCCAGGGGCAGGCATGGGTGCACAGATAGGTGCACTGGAGACGCAGCGGGATTGATAGCTGAGTCCTCCCTGCTGGGTCATGTGGATCTCAGATTTGAACGCGGATCTTCTAAACCCGGGTGTTTAAGCCTGTGCACCCCCAGGTCCCCAGGCAGGTATGTCCAGATTCCCTGTGCTGCTGGCTCCTCACCCCTCGCCACTACACCTGCCCTCCCTGGCCTCTCTCTGGCTCGGCCAGCTGTCCCTCGCTGCGCCGCCTGGCTCTCTTTCTCCGGGTGAGGTGGAACCTGCTCTCAGTGATGCTGTGGAGGGAGGGCCGTGCTCGGGTTCCCACCAGGGTGGTGGCCTGTCCAGCTGAGGCCCCTGCCCCAGCACCGAGTGTGGGACTGGCATGCTGTGGTCTTTCCCCTCCCTGTGCCCCTCCCTTTCTGGCCATGAGCTGGGTGCCGTGTCCAGCTGTGGGGACACAACAGAGCAGATGAACCGTCTCTGCCTTTAGGGGCTTCCCCGATAGGGGAGAAGGGCGTGTTCAGACGACCCTATGGGTTCCGTTATGGGGCTGGATATTGGTGCACCCCAGCCGCCCCTCTCCTAGGCTGATGCTCTGACCCCCAGTGGGGCTATATTTGAATTATGGGGTGATTAGTGTTAAGTGAGGGCATGAGGGTGGGGCCCTGCTCTGAGAGAATTAGTGTCCTTGTAAGAAGAGGAACCCCCCCCCCCAGAGCTTGCCCTCCCTCGCTCCACGCCATGTGAGGACACACAAGAAGGCAGCTGTCTGCAAGCGGGGAAGCTGGTCCCCACCAGGGTCCTTGATCCTGAACTTCCAGTCTCCAGGACAATGAGAAAACCAGTCTGTCGCGTGAGCCTCCTGGCCCTCACATTTGCTGGGGTAGCCGGAGCAGCTGTGGACACACTGGATGCTCAGCAGCAACCACAGGGGGTGGATGGCCTCGGTCCCAAGGACCCCCCTTTAAGTGTTGAGCCCTGGCAAATGCCTCTGCACCTTCACAGCCCCGTCTGGGCCACGAGCCCTGGCCCAGTGACCCTCCGCTGCGCTCCTGCACGCTGCACGCTGGCTCTCGGGGCTCCCCTGAGCGGGCCCAGTTGCTCGTCTTCACTCCCTCTCTTACTCGCAGGTTATTCTCAACAGCTCCTGGAACTCGGGGCAGTGCTGTGACCCCTTGGGCGGACACCCTTAGGAGAGGCCCTCCGGGCACCGCCAGCCGGAGCCTGCGTGGGTGCTCCCGTGGTCCCTGCTTTCTCTCGCTGTCAGTTTGCCTCCCGGAGCAGCCAGGCACTGGGGGCCCTCACAGCTGCTGCTCGGCCCCCGACGTC